TGGAAGAATTGTGTAGTCCCAGTGGCTCATCTGTCTGGGAGGAACATTTCGGCTCACCCGTTCCCCTGAGCCCGACTGAGTGGAGAAGTTCAGAGGCAAGAGCCCAGCAGAAGCTGACCTATGGTTACCCTAACTCCCACACCCTCTCTGCACAAGAGCCTGAGTGGCTCAAGCTCCCTACCAAACTATGTTTTATTATTTTTATCTAGCCCTCATGGGACATTGGTGGTTCAGTGGTAGAATTTTCACCTTCCATTTGGGAGACCAAGGTTCAGTTCCCAGCCAGTGCACCTCATGCACAGCCACCACCCCTCTGTCAGCGGAGGCTTGCCAGTTGCTATGATGCTGAACGGGTTTCGGTGGAACTTCAAGACTAACAATGACTAAGAAGAAAGGCCTGCTGATCTACTTCCAAAAATCAGCCAGTGAAAACCTATGGGTTACAATGGTGCTATCTGCAACCAATCATAGACTCAGGACCGGGCAGTGTTTCATTCCATTATGCATGGGGTCACCATGAATGGGGGCCCACTTGGTGGCAGCTAACAATAAGAACAACATCTAGCCCTCCGATTCACTGAACTCTTTCCTCTTACCCAGCACTTCCCTGTTCTTTTGTTTGGGGTCACGCAGCACCAGAGTAGGCTGGAGTCAGGGGCAGGAGTTTGAACCCAGGCCCAGGCTCCTATCCCATCCTGCCACAGCAACTGGGAGACCTTGGGGAAGTTGCTTCAAAACCTCCCTGAACATGTTTCTCTTTTGTAATATGGGGATAGTAGAAGTACTGGCTCATAGAGTTGTTGTGAGGGCAAAGTGAGAAAATGTGTGTGAAGCAACAGGTTGGCCCTTGCACATAGCAACTGTTGAATAAATAGTAGCCAATGTTTTATCATCCTTAATCTGGCTGTGGCGCCATTAGCTCCATGTACCAGTTGCCATTGAGCTGATTCCTACTCCAGCAACCCCATGTGTGTCAGAGTAGAACTGTGCTCCATAGGGATTTCATTGGCTTATTTTCTGAAGTAGACAGTCAGGCCTTTCTTCCAAGGCACTTCTAGGTGGATTCGAACATCCAACCTTTCAGTTTGCAGCTGAGCATGTTAGCCATTTGCGCCACTCGGGGACTCCTAGCTCCACTTACAGCTGGGGAAATCGAGGCCCAGTGTGGTGTAATTCACCCAAGTTCCCGCAAAGAGCAAGCCTAAGATGGAGGGAGCCGAGGTCTCCCGACCTCCAGACGGAGGCTTTCCCATGAGTGAGGAAAATCTCTGCCTGGAATGTGGGCTGCTTATTCTCCCTACAGGGTAGATCTGAGTATTGGCTTGTTCACTTCCTCCCGCAGCCAGGAGAAAAGACGTCATGTGTCCTAGGTGTTCTCTAAAGCCAGGATCCCTGGGAGGGTGGGCTTTGTGAGGCCAGGCCCTGCAGCGGGCAGGGGGTTTCCCCTGGCATGGCTCAGCTGCCCCTGAGTTGGCAGCTAGGCCTGTGAGTCAGTGCCACCCCACGTCTCTGTTCCTCTCGCCATTTGTAGCCACAGCCTCAGACTCCTGGATGCAGTCCAGGGAGACATGAGGCTCCAAAATGAGGCACAAACTGAGATGCCCCTTCCCCTGCTCAGAGAGACCAAGGGACTGGCCCAAGGTCACACAGCAAGGTGGTGGTAGATTTCAGGCTGAAGCTGGTCCGCCTCAAGTGGCCCAACCCAAAGGGGCCAGGTGGGAAGGCCAGGAAGCTCCAGCCTGGATCCAGCACCCTTGCCCTCTGCCGCTTGCCCCTGACAGCTCTATTGCCACACTGGCTGCCCCTGGCCCTGTGCTGCCGCCAGAGTCCCAAAGGCCTAGGCTTGTCAGGGGAGCCTGTGGCCAGCACTGGGCTGGCCAAAAGTGACCAGGATGTCAGCTCGTGCCAGCCCCACAACCACTGAGCTGCTGCAGCCAAGCGACACCGCCGGGCCTGCCAGGTCTACACCCCTCTGCCCTCAGAGTCACAGTTCAGCCCCCATTCCCTCCCTGAACCTTCTGCTGGCTGCACTTCCCTCCCATTCCTTTCTTCCTCTTCCTCTTCTCTCTCCTTTGCCCTCTCTCCTCACTTCCTCCTGCTCTCCGCCTCCCTTGGGCACTCTGTCTGCCCTGCTCCTATCTGGGACCTGACCACTACTCACCTGGGCCTGGGACTGGGCTCTGGCGGATGCGTCTCACCAGCTATACCAGCTGCAACCTGGGCCCAAGGGCAGAGTGGAGGGGAGGGAAGGAGGGTGACCCAGCTTAATGGCCAAAGCCAAAGCACATGGCCGGGGTGGGGGCAGGGCAGCAGGAGGGTCAGGCTGCTCAGTGCCAGAGCCTCCCAATAGTCCTGCCCAGTCCTATGCTCTCCTTGCCACCCCAAACTTAGCACTGCAGAACCAGAAAAGCCATCCCACTCTACAGCCTGGGAAAGCGAGGCCTAAGGAGGGGAAGAGACTTCCCTAGGTCACCCAAGGGGTGGAAGAGTGTGAAAACTCCCGTTTTATAGATGAAGATCAAAGATTTCAGCCTTCAGTATGGATTACACTCCAACATAAAGAAGATAAAAATCCTCACGACTGGACCCATAAGCAACATCATGATAAACAGAGGAAAGATTGAAGTTGTCAAGAATTTCATTTTACTTGGGTCCACAATCAATGCCCAGGGAAGCAGCATAAAGAAATCAAATGACATATTGCATTGGGCAAATCTGCTGCAAAAGACCTCTTTAAAATGTTCGAAAGCAAAGATGTCACTTTGAGGACTAAGGTGCACCTGACTCAAACCATGGTATTTTCAATCACCTCATATGTATGTGAGAGCAGAACAATGAATAAGGAAGACCAGAGAAGAATTGATGCCTTTGAATTATAGTGTTGGTGAAGAATATTGAATGTACCGTGGACTGCCAGATGAACGAACAAATCTGTCTTGGAAGAAGTACAGCAAAAATGCTCCTTGGAAGCGAAGATGGAGAGACTTCATCTCACGTACTTTGGACATGTTTTCAGGAGGGACCAGTCCCTGGAGAAGGACATCATGCTTGATAAAGTAGAGGGTCAGTGAAAAAGGGGAAGATCCAATGAGATGGCATGACACAGTAGCTGCAATGATAGGCTCAAGCTTAGCAAGGATTATGAGGATGATGCAAGACTAGGCAGTGTTTTGTTCTGTTATACACAGCGTCGCTACGAGCTGGAACCGACCTGATGGCACCTAACAACAACACAGATGGACAAAACGAGACTCAAAGCTGAAGGGACATGTCTGAGGCTCCTATGGCCAGGGCGAGCCCCATCTGCCCCTCTCCACACCCACCGCCTCCCAAGGGCAAGGTCCGTAAGCGAGGCACAGAGCACCAAACCCATGAGAGACCACGAAGTCTGTGAGTGAGAAGCACCATATTTAATATTAAAATCTTTCTCTTAAAAAAAAGTACACAGATAGGAAAACTTGACAGCATACAAAATAGCACTTTTGTTGTATAGATGTGAGTTAACGTGAGTCCTAAAAATACTTGTAAACCTAGGTGATTATATCTTTGGTACCGTAGTGAGAATCCACTTCCCCCTCTTGGACCAGGCTTTGGGGGCCCCCGGGCAGAGATGCCAACCAGCGAGGTAGGGGTGAGTGCTGGCCCTCAGAGCATCTTTCCTCTCCGCACCTCTCCCTGCCGCAGCCCTCACTCCTTTGGCACCTCTGGTGCCCACTAGGTCGGGGTGTGGCTGGCAGAGCAAGTGAGGTGAGCGGGCCTGGGCAGTGGCAAACCACCCCCAAGGGGTACTGCCTCAGGGAATGGGGCAGCTGGAGGGCAAGAGGGCAACCCCCAAAGTATTCTACAACAGCAATGAAAACACTGAGCCCCAGGATTGATGAACATTCACGTAGCCCCGCCTCTTATAACTCTTTCCCGGCTCACCCATGCAAGGCCTCTTGTCCTTTACAGGGGCCTCTGGGCCCCCTGACTGCCCATATGTCTGTGCCATAGGCCTGGACGGCAGGTGCTGGAGGGGTAGGCTGCAGAGGTGGTTTTTGATTTGCCCTCTCTGCCCCCTTTGCTCAGAACAGTTCCAGAGAGGTCATCACGGGTGCTGAAAGGGGTCCTGTGGTCTTCTCATGCCCCTAGGGCAGGTGCCCGGGGCTTTCCAGGACACTAGTTGTCACTCCAAGTCAAGGCCCGGACAGCTGGGTTCTCGAGACTTGCCAGGGGCCTGGGGAAGGGGCACAGTTCCTGAATCCCTGGAGAGTGATGTGTGATCTGGAATCTCCCCAGACACCAGCTGCACCCCAGGCTAGGGGCTTGGGGTGTATGGCCCTGCTTCATCAAGCAAGTGTGCAGCCCCCTGGAATATTCTAGGATGCTAGTGCTGGTGGAGCAGTAGGAGTCAATGAGTCCAACATGCTCATTTCTCAAAGCGGGACACTAAGGCCCAAAGAGGGCCGGGGATTCCTCCAAGGTCTCATAGTGGGTCCAATGCAAAGTCAGGGCCACATATTGGCCACATGTGGACACTTCCCGAAGGCATGGCAACACATGCATCACAGACATGGGGCCAGTCTTGCCCTGGAGACTCTGGTGGGTGCAGTAAGACTGAAGGTGTTAAAGAAAAGACCCCGGGACTGATGGGGCCAGAAGACATGACAGTGGCATTCTCTATGGCGGGGTTGTGCCATGGGCAGGAGCTACAGGCCAGATTGTCCTATACTTGGCCCAGTCCCAGCATTAATTAACAGCATTAATTAAGCACAGACGGCCCCAGACCAGCTCGGGCCTGGGAAAGGGGAGACTGGCATTGTGGGGAGGTGCCTTCTGGATGAAGCAATACTGTCCTGGCCTCAGCCCAGTCAGGAGCAAGAGATGCCAGGCCCCTTCCCCAGCTCTTGGGTGGATAAAAGTGCGAGGAAAAACTCATCGATCAACTGATGCCTACAGGCTGCATCTCCTTGAGGGCTGGCTGGCTGAACAGAAAAATGTTATTTACCACCTCATTAACCCCAAGAAGCTCCCCAGGGATTCCAGTTTCCCCACTTGCCAGCCAGAGAGACAATCGCAGATTGTGGTCACCAAGTCCAAACTTCCCTTCTTAGAGATGGAGAAACTCTGGCCCCGGGGGGCACCCTGGCTCAGAGTCATGTGGCCTCCCCAGGGGAAGAGGGCTGGTCATGGCCCCTGCGGTTCTCTTGCCACCTTAGCCCCTGGGGTTGGGGCGCAACGTGCCAGGGGCAGAAGCTTTCCAGAAGAGGGCAGCTGATGGGGCAGCCTGGCAGGAGGCCGGGCCAGGACAGGCCAGGAGGCGCTGGGTGCTGGGAGGTAGAGGGGGAGATTCAGGCAGGCAGGGTCGGGGCCAGCCCCTACAGGAAGCTGTCCTCTGCCTCAGCCCGAGGCCCTGGGCAGCCTGGACCCAGTGGCTGCTCTGGCCGTGGCTCCGGCTCCGGCTCCAGCTCCAGCTCATCCTGGGGCTGAGGTTCCAGCTCTGGCTCCTCTTGGGGCTCCAGGGGACTGTCACAGGAGATGGTGGAGGAGGTGTTGACTTCATTCAGGGTGGAGCTAGAGGGCAAAGTCAGGTGAGTGAGGAGGGAGGTGCTGGCAGGGAACCACAGTAAGATAATAGCAACGTTAGTTAAGAACTTTGTATGTCTGACCTTGCGCCATGTACCTTATGCACTTTTGCTCATTTAATCCTTGTAAAAACCATGCAAGGCAGGTTCTGTGAGGAAAGGGTAGCCCAGGGGGTTACATAATTGCCTGAAATCACATGGCTGGTAAGTATTGGAGCTGGGATTTTGGAGCAAGTCCAGCTGGCTCCAAAGCTCCTTCCTCCCTGACCAAAGTGTCCATCCCCTGAAGGTACACCATCTCATTTAATCCTCACAACAAGTCCCAAATAGAAGCGCTCTTAGGGTTTTCATTTTACAGATGAGGTAACAGCTTCTGAGCAGTGAAGCAGCTTGTCTGAGGGGACGGAACAGGGCCAGCATCCACCCCCCAAGCTGTTTGAGCTCTGAGCTTAACTCCTCTCCACGCTGTCTTGCTGGAGTCTTGGAATGTGAGTTTCTTAAACAGTCAGAGCTGGGCCTTCAGGGCCTTCGAGGGCCTTCAAAGTCCTGTGTGCTCCTAGTGCATAGGGAGAAACTGAGGCTCAAAGAGGAGAAGGCTCCTGCCCAGGTCTCACAGCAGCTAGTGGCAGAGCTGCGCTCGAACCCAGCCTGGCCACTGCACCATGGGGTGGATCTTGTTTTGGGGGTGGGTCTGTCCTCAGGGGGAGCACTTCCTCCTAGCCAAGGGGAGATCCTGTCTGAACATCAAGCCCAGGCAATAGCTGGGCCTTCCTCCAAAGCCCTCCCACACTGGAGGCAAAAAAGCAAAGCATGAATCTCCTTTCCAGTCTGAATTCTGGCCTGAGCCCTTACAGGTATCTCTGCCTCCTACAACCATGCCAGGCTCCCTGGGGCCCTCAGGGCCTGGTGCAGAAGGATGGACCACAGACCCAGGGCTAGCCATGACCCCAGGATAACAAGTGGGGTGCTGAGGGTGCTAAGTAGGTTTTCTCCTTCTCCTTGGGGAAGAAGAGATGGCCTATGGGGCTCTTAAAGGAAAAACGCTATCTTGCAAATAAGTCCCAGCCCATTCTTTCTCTTACCAGCCTGTCCTTTCCACCTGAGGGCATCATAGGTCAAATGAGCAGGAATAAGTACTATTTGTTGGCAGGAATACGTACTTACCCTAGGTAACTGGCTACTTCCAAGGCAGGCCTGACAGCACACATATACACTCACATACACCATGCACACGACTCCCTTGGGCCCCAGGCCAGGGTGGCTACCTTGCAAGGCTAGGGGAGCCCTCCAATGGCCCCTCATCAGCAACCTCGGGTTTGGGATCAGGCAGGGGAATGATATAGTCATTGTCACCCTCGTTGGGCTGCACAGCAGTGTAGAGGACGGAGCTAGTGTCCAGGGTGGAGTGGAGGCCATGGAATCCCGGCAAACGGGCTTGGGAGCGAAGGACGGCTGGGTGGTCACTTCTCAGGAACTCCTCGTCCACCTGCTGGTACTTCTGCTCCGCAGGGCAGAGAGAGCCGGAGAAACGTTGATGGTCAGAACCAGAAATGCCTTCCAGGACCATATAATGGTTAGATTCTAACCCTGCCCGTCTCCCCTTACATAACTAAGGTAACTGGTGCCCAGAGAAGAAGCCCTGTTGGTGCAGTGGTTAAGTGCTCAGCTGCTAACCAAAAGGTTTGCGGTTCGAACCCACCAGCTGCTCAGTGGGCAAAGATGTGGCAGTCTGCTTCCGTAAAGATTCACAGCCGTGGAAACCCCATGGGGCAGGTCTACTCCGTCCTATGGGTCACTGTGAGCTGAAATTGACTCAATGGCAATGGGTGTGGTGCCCAGAGAGGAGTTACCCAAGGCCACACGCTGAGCTGTGTGCTCACCTGGCATCTCACATGACAAGGTGAGCTCAGGTCGCCCAGGGAGGGAGCAGTTAGTGGACCAGCACCCGAGGTCCTAACACTTCTCTCCACTTCACGGCAGACCGGTATGGGCTCTCATTTTGCCTCAAACTCCTTCAACGGGCCTCAGTTTTCCTCACTATGAGGTGGTGATGCTCACAGTTCCTCTCACTGGCCCCTGAGCCATAGCGGGACATGGGGTGGGGCTGGGGGTAAGAGATGGACCAGGTTTGGCTATGTTTGTGCCAAATGGGAGACCCTGGCGGCACAGTGGTTAAGAGCTATGGCTGCTAACCAAAAGGTCAGCAGTTCGAATCCACCAAGTGCTCCTTGGAAACCCTATGGGGCAGTTCTACTCCGTCCTATAGGGTCACTATAAGTCAGAATCAACTTGATGGCAATGGGTTTGATTTTTTTAGGGTTTTTTTTTTTTTTGGTGCCAAATGGATCTGTATCTCCTTCTCACGCTAATCCCTGCTGTGAGGCAGAGGAGGGTTTAAGACCCTACCGGCTCTATTTGCCTCGTATGCACCTGCAACAGCTTCCTAGTGATCAGGCCCCTAGAGGTCACCTAGTTGGGGCTGTTCAGACTTTCTGAGGAGCACCTGGATTTGGCATGGGTGCAAAGGCACGTGGAAAAATACACAACAAATGGGGCTGTAGGCTCAATCCATCACATAGGATTTCATTTCAATAAGCTGCAAAAATAAATTAAAACCACAGCCCCAGCCCATCCCTTCCTAGTACCAGCAGGGAAACTGAGGGCAAGGGGGGACTTACACCCAGTGTCTGACTTCTGGATCAGACTCTTTGTTCCCCATCCCTCCCCTGCCTCAAAATACCTTTTTGTAGCCCTCGCCCAGCAGTCTCTCAAGAAGCAGTACCAGCTGGGAGAAGGGGGGCCGGATCTCAAACTTCTCTTCCCAGCACTTCTGCATGATCTCGTAGCTGCAGAGAGACAGCAGAGGGGGTCAGGGTCTCTGACTCAGGGTGCAGGGGGCAGGGCTGGGGTGGGGTAGCTGAAGGCTGCTACCTCTCAGAACAAGTTGAGCAACACAACAGAGCTGGGAAGGGTGGGAGATAAGCGCTGTTTTTGCCAGTGTCTCTTCTCCTATTACTCTACCTGGATATTCCCTTGGGAACCCCTCCCTCCAACCCAATCCTGTGGTTCCAGTGGGGTTGACTACACCTCAGTGAGCACATGACTCAGGTCTGGCCAATAGGCATTTGGATGGGCATGTGATCTTAGCTGAGCCAATGAAAGTCAGCTCTGGGACTTTCGCTGGGACCGTATGGAAGAAGCACGGATGTACAGCTGGGGCTGGTGCAGCCATCTGGGCAGTGCTGGCCCAAACATGAAGCCAATATAAAGCAAAGCAGATTCCGAGGATAGAAAATGAGATTCCTGATGACATCATTTGAACACCTAGATCCAGCTATACCTAGACTTTTCAAGATCTCTAAGCCGATAAGTCTATCTTTGATCTAAGCTGGTTAGAGTTGGATATCTGTTGTTTACACTCCAAAAATTCCTCTCAAATGCGTGAGAATCCACTCACATCTCGTCTGATGCGTGGACAGGCTGGGCCATGCGGTAACCTCGCTTGATGGCATTGTAGAACTGCTCGTTCATGGGCAGCTCCGGATAAGGGGTGCCACCTGTGGGAGGGGCAGAGATGGGGTGGTTGGAAAAGTGGCAGGGTACCTCTTCTACAGGACAGGGAGAGGCACACCAGCCCTGGCGTGGGGTGAGGGTGTAGTGACCCTCAGCATTAGGAAATGTGGGTGTTCTGGGTTGAATTCATGTCCACTTGGAACCTGCAAATGAGACCTTATTTGGAAATAAGGTCTTTGCAGATATAATCAATTTAAGATGAGGTCATTGTGGAGCAGGGTTGGCCCTAAATCCATTATGACTTGTGTCCTTATAAGAAGAGGGAAATCTGGACACAGAGACACAGATACAGAGAGAAGACAGCCATGTGAAGTGGGAGGCAGAGATTGGAGTCATGCCACCACAAACCAAGGAATGCCTGGGGTTAACAAGCTGGAAGAGGCAAGGAAGGAGGCTTAGAGGCTTTGGAGGGAGCATGGCCCTGATGATACCTTGATTTTGGACTTCTAGCCTCCATAACTGTGAGAGAATAAATTTCTGTTGCTTTAAGCCACATAGTTGGTGGTACTTGTTTACGGCAGCCCACGAAAATTAATACAGTGCGCTCCTTCATGGGCTCTGAACAGAGACTGCAACCTGCCCCAGAATTAGAAAACCAGAGAACAACCAAGACAGGCGGGCATTTTGATTTTTGTTGTTAGGTGCCATTGAATAGATTCCAGCTCATAGTGATCCCATGTGATAAAGCAGAACTGCCCATAGGGTTTTCTAGGCTGTAATCTTTATGTGAGCAGATCGTTAGGTCATTCTCCCATGAAGCTGCTGGGTGGGTGTGAACCACCAACCTTTCAGTTAACAGCCAAGCGCTTAACCATTGTGCCACCAGAGCTCCTTGGTGTTTTGATACCACTGTGCAAAGCCCTCAATACTCAGATGGGGCAAGGCCCTCACTAAGGCCACAGAGTAGTAAGAAAGTAGCAGAGCAGGGACTTGAACCAGAGCCCCTTACCCCATCCCAGCACCCACCCATCCCACAGCCCCAGGCCCCAGCGGGCAGGAGGGCAGAGGTATGATCGGTCAGGTGGATGTGCCCACAGGTGTTGAGGGCTGGGGAAGAAGGAAGCGCACCCAGGGTGAAGATCTCCCAGAGCAGGATCCCAAAGGACCACACGTCACTCAGGGTGGTGTAGAGGCTGTTGAAGATGCTCTCGGGGGCCATCCACTTGAGAGGCAGGAAGGTCTGCGGGAGGTCAGGGCGGCTGCTCAGTGCAAGGCGGTGCAGCCTTTGCTCCCTGCACCTGGGGTGGCAGGAGGGGCTGACATTCCCACCCCTGATTCTTTCTTACTCCCTAGTCCCTGTGAGGGCTCAGTCTCTGCTGCACACAGCTCCCACACCCAACCCAGTGCTGCCCAGAGGAACAGGAAGCCAGCTGTCTTCTCTCACTAGCTGAGGACATGCAGCTCCTGTCCCTGGGAAAAAGCCCCACAGTCTGAGGTTCCTCACAGAAGAGGTCCCCCTTCCTGACCCCAATAGATGCTCTTTGTTGGGTGGGGTGTGGGGTAGGGGAGACAGGGACATACCAAAGCCCCACCCAGCTCTCATCCTGGCTCCCTTAGATCTCTGGGAGCCTCATGCCCCCTCCATCTCTGGGATTTATTGTCCCCATCTGGAAAGTGGGAAGATGAATGGGAGGACAGGATGGCCACATTTTAACCAAATCAATCCCAGCTATTGCCGGTGATCTACTCATATGTCTTATCATGTCATCTGGGTTTCTTCCTCAACCACACCCAGCACATGGGGCTGCCCACCGCCACCACTAGAACACATTTGGCTGGCTCCTCCTTTCCACCCACCCCTCGCCCTGACCAACATATCTGAGCCTGCCCACCCCACTTCGCTTCCCATCCCTCCATGCACAGCCTGGCAGGCACGGCCTATCCCAGCTGGGCAGGTCAGGACATGAGGCCCAGTGCTGATGTTCCATGAGCCTCAGTCACACTGATCAGAGGGACTCTGTTCCTGGGCTCAGATGTCCACAGTGACACTCCACAGGGGCCAGGGAAAGTACTCACGCTGCCTTTGGAGATATAGTTTGAGTCTCGCATAATGTCACGAGCCAGGCCGAAGTCACAGATCTTGACCAGCTTGCCCTCGCAGATCAGCACGTTCCTGGCCGCCAGGTCTCGGTGGACACACTGGGTAGGGGGAGAGGGGCTGAGGCCTTGGGGGCAATCATAGGAAAAGACCCAAGGGCCACACAAGTGTGAGAGCACTCGCTGTCCCCAACCAACAGAGGGGACACAGTTGTCATATGGGACCATGTAACTGGAGGACTCTGCCTGAGTGACCCATCTCCCATCACTCCCATCCTGCCCCGGCCACACATACGTTCTTGGAGGCCAGGAACTCCATGCCATTGGCGACCTGGTAGCTGAAGCCCACAAGGTCCATGTAACTAAGCACTGGGGACTCGTTGATCAAAGTTGCCCGACATGTCCTCTCGGGAGCTAGAGGAGAACAAAGGGTCACCCACGTTCCCGAGGCCCACAGGTCATCTGCCCTCTGGCTCATGGAGACTGAAAGGCTACTGAACCACTGAGCCTTCCCGAAAAGGAAAATGATTCCTAATATCTAACTTTAACCTTTCCTACTTTATCAGAGCCCTCATTGGCCAGAAAAGCTTCTGGCATTCGCTCTGGGGCCACCTTTGCTCTGCCTGCCTGCTTCTCAGGGATACTAGACCAGCCAGGGGCTATTCTGAGCACGTCACTCTTCCCCAAGGCCCCAGGTGGCCAGGTTCTCTCCCCATCCCAGCTCCTCCCCTCCCTGCGGGCTGTGTGCAGGCCCCTGAATCCAAGGCCCATGAACAGGGGTTCATATTGGGGCTCCCTACACAGCAGCTTTAGGCAGGTATCTAGCCTCAGTTTCCACATCTATGAAATGGGCACAACAGGCCTTCCTCCCAGGGTTGTTGCAAGGCTGGGCATGTGAAAGGCTTTGAAAAGAATGCCTCACTGCTCAGGTGTGAGGTGAGAACACTATCCACTGACCAGAGGGGACGTAGTTGTCGTAAGGGGCCATGTAGTTAGAGGACTCGATGTCTGCATATTTGACGTCCCCTTTCATGTCCAGCATGGGTACGTAGTCCACCGACTCATCCTTGCTCATGTCCATGTAGCCACCGTCACTCTCCCCAGTCACGGACACATGGCTGGGAGTGAGAGAAGCACCATAAAGGGAGCGGCCACAGGCTCTCCCTTCCCTTCCCCTCCTGGCCCTCTGCTCACCCCTGGGCCTGTGAGGCCCTGTCACTCATGTATTTCCTCTCACTCACTCACCCACCCTCCTTTAGTATGTCACAATGTTATGATCATGCGTTGAGCCCTTTCAACCCCGTCAGGCCCTGAGCTGGGTCCTGGGCTGCCAAGAAGACATAAAAGCCAGAAAGCTCACACTCAGAGGCGATTATAGCACCTGAGGACAAAGGCACGAGATGGGTGTGAACACAGGCTCCTTTCTGTGGCTTCTCCGCACCACCTGGCCATGATGCCCCGTGAGTGCCTGACCACAACCCACTGTGGGCAGCACCAGGCTGCCTTAATACCCCTGCCTGCTGCATCAGCTCCCGAAAGAGCTGCACCACTACATGCACATGTGTCTCTGTGGGTAGAAAAAAGACTGGAAGGAAATAGACCAGAATGTTGGGGAGGACGGGGATGAGCTTTACTGTCTTCTGTATGCGTTTCTGAACTTTCTCTTGTCTCTGCAATACACACATATTGCTTTTGTAATCAGCAGAAGAAACAAGAAATGTTATTTTTGGAAAGAAGAGGGGAATTGAGTTGCCTGAGGGGCATGGGGTGGGGGCACTGAAGAGGGAGGCTGGCGTGGAGTGCAGGTAGGGGTGTGAGTGGGAGCCTGGCCTTCTTCCCTCCACTGCCTCTGACTCCCATGTGCCCTGGGACAGAAGTGGCTCAGGGGAGGAAGACATCCACAACACAGGGAAGGCGTGAGGACTCGAGGAGGCCATGTCTGCCAAGTGCTGGGGCCAGGCATACTGTGGGCGGCCAGTAGTAGCAGCTGATCCCACCACTATTATCATTGCCCTTATTGTTATCCTCTAGCCTGGGGTGGCCAAGCCCCCAGGTCTAGGACTGACTTGTGCAACAGTCCTGGCTCCAGGAGCAGTGCTGCTCCTCCCCAGCCTCAGTTTCCTCTCCTGGACTATGAGGAGTGAGCCGGTGCTCTTCAAGTTCCCCCAAAGATTCAGGTGTCTGACCTCCCTTCTGGTACCTGGGCAGAGGGAGCCCGATGGGCAGGGCATTGCTGTAGAGCTCAGCGCTGGGTGGGTGGCGCTTGTCGGAGCAGTGTTGCAGGAAGGTGTGCTTGTTGCGGTGCAGGTAGTCCACCAGGTCGCCATAGCGGCAGTACTCAGTGATGATGTAGATGGGTCCTGCGGAGGGACAAGCTCAGGGATGGTCCCCGGAGGTGGGGGTGGGTCTCGGACTACCCAACAAGGCTAATCACAGCCTGGATGTGGGAGAGGCAGTTTGGTATGATGGTAAGAGGTCTTGGCACCAGCCAGACTGTTTTTTCCCTGCCTCTGCAACCATGAGCAAAGTACTTAGTCTCCCTGAGCCTTAACTTTCCCATCTGTTAAGTGGGGCTAATAATACCCATCTCCTGGGGCTGTTGTGAGGACTAACAAGATAACACCTTTGTCAGCTCAGCTCAGTGCCTGGCACCTTGCAAGCACACACTGTTATTAATATTTAGCTTTTATTGATATTTTTTTTAAACTAAAGCTTGTCTTGGAGCCCACTATATAAAGCAGATAAAAGCAATGACTTATTATTATCAGTGTACTTTTTAAATCCAAATATATTTTCTGAAAGCCAACCAGCTGGAGCTTGAAACTATCAATGAAAACAAAAATTTTGAAATTGGTGGTCATTGCAGACACAAATTGTCCTATGCATGCAAATGTACTTCTGTATTTTGTGTTGGCTGCACAATACGGAAGAAAATCCCCAAATCACACAATAACCAGCTGCAAAACCGCAATAACATGTTCTGCAGCCTAACCTGAAGTCAGATTACTCTTCCAGTAAACACAGCTGGCAGGAGCAACTTGATTGCATGGTTTGAAGAAAAGCGTTCCTAGGTTAGCATACAGGTGATCCTCAGTGTGCGCACACTGGCATGGCTAAGCGTTCGGCTGCTAACCAAAAGGTGGGCAGTTCGAACCCACCAGCCGCTCCATGGAAATCCTATGGGGGAGTTCTACTCTGTCCTATAAGGTCGCTATGAGTCGGAATTGACTCGAGGGCAGTGAGTTTGGTTTTTTTGTTTTTTTTAGTTTCACTAGTTTCTAAATTCCATGCCCATCTGGGTCTGTGACCTGAGGGCACTGGGAAGGACAGGATGGATGTACCTCCAGCTGGAGCGTCCTGTTGGCCTTGGGACTGAGGAGAGGGCAGGGAGGGGCCAGGCCATGCCCACCAGGCATTTTGCCAGAGTCCTCTGGGGCAGTGGGTTTTGTACCTCCTTTGGTGCAGGCCCCCAGCAGGTTGACCACGTTCAGGTGGGGCCCCAGATGACTCATGATCTTCAGCTCCGACATGAGGGCCTGCTTCTCACTGCTACGGGCTGTGGCTGAGGGGAGGGGGAGCCTCAGGCAGGGCCTCTCACTGAGGCCCCATGGAGGCCCCACTGGAGTCTACTCTGGCTCTTCTACCCTACCCTGTGCTGTAAGACCCAGCCAGCCTAGGATTGTGAGGATCCACATGTGGGAGAAGGGAGTGAGGGTGGGAGGGAGGTGGGGGAAGGGAGGAGGAAGAAGGAGGGAAAAAGACGCCAGGGTGAGGCACTGTCTTTCTGGCGCCAAGAATATCTGAAATCAGGCCTGCTTTGGGAGTGTCTGTTCATTTGGGGAGGGCAGGGGAGAGGTGGGGACCCACAGGTGAGGGGAGGGAGCAGGGTCTCAGCACTCACATTTCAGCATCTTGACAGCCACCTTCATCGTGGCCTGAGAATGGCTCAGGCCATGTGCCGTGGCCTCCACCACCTGCCCAAAGGCCCCAGAGCCGAGGGTGCGTCCTGGGGTGGAGGCAGTCTCTCAGCTCCCAGCCCACCAGGAAGCTGCATCCCCTACTCTTCCCACCCAAGGGTGGGAAAACCACCTTCTGAGGTCAACCCAGGCATCCCTCAAACCACCCTGGACTTAAAACATTCCCCTACAAGGAGGCTCCTGAAATCACAATGCTTTCTAGTCTTTCTGGTGTGCCATCTAAGTCCTGCCTACTTTCTGCCCCATCTTTAGTCCCTGGAAGCCAGCCTCCCTCCCCAGACAAGCACAGCTCCTCTGCTGCCCCTCAGCCACCCCAGCTAACCAAGCACTCCTCCTGTCCTCAATTAATACGTCCTCTCTCGCCCCATTTGAAGGTGAGGGTTCCATCTCACAGAGGTGCAGGGTCATAGGACCTTAATGCTGGGTGGTCCCTGGAGGACCTCATCCATCCCATTGTACAGATGGGGAGATTGAGGCCTAGAGAAGGCAGACATCAGCCTTAGTTCTCGAAGCTAATCATGACAAGGCTGGGACTAGACCCGAGTGTCTTCCCTCCTGCCTCGAGTCCCCAGACTGCCACGTGGGGCCTCCCTGGACTGACCAAGCACGAGCTGGTCCCGCGGCAGCTCCCATGTGGAGTCGTAGGGCAGCTGCATGGGGTCCACGTAGATGTACTCATGTCCATCGGAGCTCACTGACTCGATCACCTTCCAGCGGATCTCATAACGTGGCTTCTGCAGGCCCGAGATTGGAGATGGATCATTAGGGGGAAGTCTGGACCTTGAGACCCACTAGATCCAATTCCTTACAGAACAGATGGGCAGGTGTCCCTGAGGCCCAGAGAGGGGCAGAAGCATGTCTAAAGTCACACAGCAAGTTAGTAACAGAGCCAAGGCCTTCGTGAGCTCAGAGGGAACAGGCACTAAGGGGCCCTGGCTGGGAGGTGGCAGAGGAGCCTTCAAGACTTGACAGGCTGAGAAGCATCTGACAGTTGAGAGCCTGGTTCATCAGAACCTCCTCACCAGCTACTGCCAGAGCCTCAGCTGCTCCTCAGAGCAAAGGACAGTGACATGAGGCAGGGACACTCTGCTGGAGGTGGGCCCCTCCTGGTGTTGGGTTTGAGTCACAGCAGAAATCTGAGAAAGATGTAACCTAAGAGTGTTGATATCATAGGAGGTTGGAATCCCAGAACTGTAAGTCTTAGAATGAAGGAATCATGAAGTGTTGCACTCATCATTCAGGAATCACAGGATGGTGAAATCCCAGAACAGAACATTGAAATGATAGATTAATAGGCTCAGAATGCATTTCAGTGGAATCATGGGAGTGTCTGTGGGTGAGAACTGGAAGAATCCTGAAGCCCATGTAGTACACTCCAAAGGTCCCGTGCCCTGGGATAGGCAGGGTGGCCTGGACCAGGCCAGAGTCGCCCAGGCTGCTGGAGGGAGGTAGCTCAGACACCCAGAGTCACTCTACAGCAGGGCTCTGTGTGGGCCCCAGACATGGCCAGGTCATGCAGCATTCACAGAGGGCTGGAAGTCCATGCAAATAGTATGCCAACCTGCACCCCATAGGCAAGGAGAGGCTTACCTTCTGCCAGAGCATGATGAGGATGATGAGGGAGATGACAGTGAGGACCACTAGGGCCAGGATGGCCGAGATCACCACCACCTTGAAGGGCAGTGCTGGAGGCAGAGAAGAGAACAGGCCCTAAGCAAACAGGGTCCTTGGCAGCTGCCCTCCCCCTGCCACCTCTGGCACCACAAATCCCTCTCTGCCCATCCTGCGTGGAACAGAAGCCCCACCCCAAACGGCCATGATGTCAGACTCTCCTCTCTGCATCGTCTCCTGCAAATACCCCTCATGAACTGCCCCCAGCTCAGATCTCTATCAGCCCCCATAACCCTTCTGCCCTCGCTGGGTCAGTCAGGCCTGTCTGCCCTAGCTCCATTCTCTAGAGCCCCTGTTAGACCATCAGCCCCCCGAGAGCTGGGCTGTGGCTCACCTCTCCTCTGAACCATGCCCTCGCTGGGACCATCATAGCTAGAACAGGGCTCTATGTTCCATGCCTGAGTGACTGACCAAGGGACGGAGTGACTGGGCACTGAGGGAGCAGTAAGATTAGCCCCCAATAGGCTGAGAAATCCAGACTGCAGAAGAGAGCCTGTTTCCCCCCGCCACCACCCCCCCACCCAGTCTCACTCTGATTCCCCAGGTGAGGTCAAAGAAGTAGTGACAGTGGCTCTAAAGTGCATCCCCCAGGGAACGGTGGTAACCAAGTGGAGCTAACATTGGGCCCAAGTCTTCAGTCTCCTCCATCTCCAAGGCCTCAGCCTCTCTGCTGCCCAGCATCCCATTTCCTCCCACTTCCTGAGCTGCCTGCTAGACCCCCACACCCACCCAGGCCAGACCCTCATCTGCCTCCTCTGCTCTGCCCCACTGGCCACCGACACATTCCCCAGAGGACTTACTCCCCTCCTCCTCTGTCCCCCATCTGCCCTTTTCTGCGCCCAAGGGAGCCCTGTTCCTCCTTCTCCGTGGGGTCTCTTCCCTACCCCTCCTCCTCAGGGCTCCAGACCAACCTCACTCCTCTCCCTGGTCGTGGGAAGGAAGCCCACATCTTCCTGGCTGTAGGGAGCCATCTCTGGCTAAAAGAGGGGCTCTCAATCCAGCGTCCCAGTGCCAGGTGGGCTGGTGCATGGCCTCCCCCTCAGGCAGCACCTGAAAGCTTTACTTCTGCCTTTGGTCAGAGCTGGTCTGTTGCTCAGGCTGTCCCACCCCTGTTGCCAGAGGCCCACTTGCTCAGGCATATGTGTGCATATGTGGGAGGATGGGTGAAATCAAACCAAACAACAACAAAAAACCCCGAACCCGTTGCATCCAGTCGATTCTGACTCACAGTGACCCTATAGGACAGAGTAGAACTGCCCTATAGTGTTTCTCAGGTTGTAATCTTTATGGAAGCAGACCACTACATTTTTCTTCCATGGTGCAGCTAGGGGGTTTGAACCACTGACCTTTTGGTTAGCAGCCGAGCACTTTAACCACTGTGTCACCAGGGCTCCTTATAGGTGAGATAAAGGTATTAAAAAATCCCACCCCATCCTACCAGAGGGCAGGGCAGGGGGGCAGGGGTGGGTACAAAGAGATCTAGATGCAGTGTAATGTGTGCTTACACGTGTTTGCACACATGCAGACAGACATATGCATGCACAAGCCCGTGGGCCTGCCTGCGTGTACACACCAGTGTGTCCATTATGCTTTACATGGTCTTCGAGGCCCTGCTTGATCTGCTTTCTGCCTACCTCTCTAGCACCATCCCTTACCACTCCCCTCCCCTTTATCTCTTCTACCCCACTCCCAAAACACACACATATTCTAAGCTCCAGCCAGACTGAATTCCTTTCATTTCTCTGAGACCACCTGGCCTCTGGGCCTTTGCACAGGCTGTTCCCTCTGACTGGACCACTATTCCTCACCAGGCTGACTCCTAGTTATCTTTCAGATTATAACCTGAAGTTTCCTTTTTCCAGGACACCTTCCTGAATCCCACAGCCAGGTGTGAGGCCCGTCCATCCTCCAGACTTTCCCCACAAATTGCTGATCCCCAGAGTGGGATGCCTAGTTCCTTCTCTGCCTCCTCTCTCGGGACTACTGGACTGTGAATCCTAGGAGTGCAGGCAGGACTGGGCCTTTTCGTCTCTATACCTCCACTGAGAAGTTGGGTCCCTTTAACTATATATTAAATGAAGAAACGGATGAATAAATGAAGGACCTGCATAGAGGTTACCTGAATGCACAGGGATGGGCAGGGAAATATGCAAAAGCACCTGGGCACTGGGAGGCACTGTTTATATGTACCAGAAGTATGCACGTACATGTATCTACTAACAGACATGTGTAAGTGTACGGGACTTGCGTTTGCACACTTTTACAGACAGGTGTGCTTACAATTATATACTTACAGACATGTACTATACCAGTTTGCACACATGCACAGGAATTTTACATGCACACATATATGCACACAGAGGGCATAGCTTTGTTTGCACATGTGTATAGGGACCGTGCACCCGTGTGCATATGCATCCAGACGTACACTCTGGGGGTTTATATACATGTCTGGGGATTGGGCATGCTCGTGTATGCAGTTTACAGACATACACTGGATGAATTTACACACATGGACAGGGATGGTGCATGTTTGAGTACATGCTTACAGACGTAGACTCTAGCTTTACACATGTATCTGGGAATTGGGCATTCTCCGTACATGGTTTACAAATCTACACGTGGAGGGTTTGCACCCGTATCCATGGATCAAGCATCCTCACGTACATGACTTACAACATATACAAAGTTTACCCAACACTTAAGCAGACAGTGCTAGTCACATACAGGGTTTATAAGCATATACCTGTGCATGTACAGTGGATGTACACATGTACTGATATTGCACATGCTTGTACATGCTTAGAGATGTTCTGGTGTATTTCACATGCTCCTGGGCACCCATGGGCATACTGACTCTCTTCACCCGCTGTGGGTGTATGGGAATAGTCCCAAATATGAGGGGACAGGGTGGGGCTGAGGGGTTGTCAGGGGCCGCCAAGGCTGGCGGACTCACAGTGTGGCACCACGGTGACCTCCTGTGCATCGTAGCCCAGCAGGTTGCGCAGCGTGCAGCGCACGGACAGCGGCTGATCCACGCGTTGCAGGCGCAGCGTGCTCACCACCTCGAACTCCTGCTCTTCTGCCCAATATGTCACGTTAGTCTCCAGCTGGCTCTCCTCCTCGGAACTGTTCCCCAGGGGTGTGGGTGGCAGCTCGCGTGGACACCTGCCAGAAAAGCCAGCCCGGCACCTTCCAGCCCCTTCTCTTTTGCAGACGGGGAAACTGAGGTCAAAAGCAGGCCTTGCCACAGGATGGTGGTAGGAAGGGCTAGGGCGTGGCCAGTTACTGCTACTACCCACTGCCTGGTCCTGAGCTGTTTCCTCCTGCAGTCCCTCAATTGACCAGCAGGTGATGCTCCCACTCCAGAACTGAAGACTGAATTGCAAAATCCATTCCTCTCATTTGCTAGACTTGCAGACTGGGGCACAGAGATGTTAAATTACTTGCTCGGAGTCACACAGTGAAGGCGGGTAGAGGTAGACCCTGAACTCAACTCTGCCTCTGCCCACTACGTTAGAATCTGCCCTAACCAGGAGTCCAGAGCAGATCTACTGGGTGGGTGAGGTCTCGGGGACACATACACTCACTGTGCTGGGTTGAGGGTAGCTCAGAGGTCAAGGTAAGGAAAAGGGACACTTTAGGTCATGCAGAGCTTCATGGAGGTGGTAGGCTGCCTTCTAGATGTGGCTTTAGCCTGGAACAATGTGCCCAGAGGAAGGGGATGGACTAGGGGACATTCACTGGGTCCTCCTAGCCAGCTATGGGTGCCCTGGGAAACTGAAGCCTGAGGTCCACTCACCTCTTGAGGTCACTGCAGGTAGACCAGGTGAGGTGTGGCTGGGGCATGCCCCGACCACGACAGCGGACTGTCTGCTCCCCGCTGGCTGGGTGGCTCTCGCTCAGCTCTAGCACACGGACAGGGACTGTGTGGAGAAGGGACAGGATCAGGCAGAGGAGTAGGGGTGGGTTGTCGGAATAGACAGTCAGTGGGAAAGACGGGAAAGGTCCTCCTGAAAGACCTGGCCCAGAGTCTCTTGGGGGAGAGGGGGCGTGCTGTAGACCGCAGGTGAACATTAAATACCAGGAATCACGGTGTGAAAACGGACGGATTCCCCTTCTGCTTACTTCAAAGGGAAAGCCTCAGTAGGATGCTAGTCCAGTCTTTAACACCTCTCTGAGACTTGCTAATCTTCCCTTTTACCAAAGAGAAAGCCGGCCTCAAGCCCAGAGCCCTGGGCAAGCAAGAGCATGGAGCTAGAATTTAGTAACATTACTTTGTTTTCTCTGAGTTTATTTTAGTGGTTACTTTATATTTATGACATGTGATGCTGATTTTCTATTTACAATTGTGAGATTAAATTTTTTCTTTCAAAATAAACTTATTTTTAGAAAGTCAATTGACAAAACATTAAGCCATTATCATGTCACTCCTCCCGCTCAAAACCCTGCAATGGCTGTTCTTTTCATTCGGTAAAAGTCAAACTTCTACTGCCCCCAACACCCCTAACTACCTGATCTCATCTCCCACTACTCTCCGCCTCAGTCCGTTCCAGCCACACTGGCCTTTCTGCCATTCTTCCAACATTTACTCCTGCCTTTGCACGGTCAAAAGCCTTGGTAGCACAGTGGTTAAGAACTCGGCAGCTAACCAAAAGGTCGGCAGTTTGAATCCACCAGCCGCTCCTTGGAAACCATATGGGGCAGTTCTAGTCTGTCATATAGGGTTGCTAGAGTCCGAATCAACTGAACGGCAATGGGTTTGGTTTTGATTTTGCACTGCCTGGGATGCCCTTCTCTCAAATACCCACTTGGCTAATGCCCTCACTTCCTCAAGTTGTCACCCAAATGCCATCTCAGTGAGGCCAACCCTGACCACCCTATTTAAAATTGCAACACTCAACACCTGCCTGCCCTAGCACTCTCTATCCTTCCTGCCCTACTTTTTATTTCTTCTACAGCACTCATTATTTTCCATGGAATTTGTTGGTCCCCATCCCTATTGTTTCATGCTTGTCTCCCCCCACTAGACTCAAGCTGCACAAAGGCAGGGCCTCAAAAATCTTGAACAGGACTGGCATATTGTAGTCTCTCAGTAAACATCTATCGAATTAATAGTATAGAGTAAATAGTATGTGAGATGGAAAAACTGTGGTAGTGCTACATGCAAGCCCGAGGTTTTGGAAACACCAGTCTTGCCCGACAGCCTCCATGTTCAGATGGGGAAACTGGAGCCCAGAGGAGGGCATGCCAGGGTCCCACAGCAGTGTGTCAGTGTCAGAGCTGGGCCTAGAACCCAGTGTCCTGAGTCTGGGCTCCCTCTCTTGCTCCTCCTGTGAGGGGGTTGGACAGCGCAGGATGAGAAGAGGAATGGGGGCAGGGAGGGGCAGGGGCAGAGAAGTGAGTGGGTGGGCTCCTCACCGTTGACCTGCAGCTGGAAGGAGAGCTGGGCCTCAGCGTCCTCATGGAAGGCCTGCATGGTGTAGCGGCCAGCCTCGGCCACCTTCACCCGCACCAGTGTCAGTTCTGATATGTACCTGGGAAGTAGGACAGGCCAGGAGACCCGGCTGTCAGAATTGGAAGTGCCCTAACAGTCCTCCCCGCCCTCATTGTACAGACAGGAAAGCAAGGCCCAGGGAGGGGAAGGGTGCCAAGGTCACATGGGTGTCAGTAGCAGCACCAGATCTCAAACCCATAGTCTCCTGAGTCCATACCCAAGGGCAACTCCATGAGCCAAGAGGGAGGACTGCCCTGTCCACATCTCATCCCCTCAGAAAGTCCTAACACCGCTTTATCCTACCATACTGTACCCTATGTCTGGCTGCTTCTCTCTAGCCTCAGGGCTATCATCTAGATGTGGCCGTGGCCTGCCTGGCACCCTCCTCACCAATCATCCAGCCTCCTTCTCCTTGGCTGCCCCCTTGCTGGCTCCACCCATCACAAGGGTAATTAAACATCTGGGCGATCATCTGACTCTGTTTGTTTTCCCTACTAGACCAGAAAGCCAGGGAGGGATGGACTGCATCTGCTCTGGTCTCTGTGGCATGCCCAGCGCCTTGCCCAACACGTGGCTTGTAATAGGCTCTCAGGAAAGGCGGGGTCAGGTTTGTTGAAGGCCGTGGGATGCCTGGCGGCTGCAGAGAGCAATAACTTCAAGAATCAAGTGGGCAGGCGGCTGCTCACCGGGTCTCGGACACATTGCGCATGGACAGGGAGATCTCGCCAGTGCTGGTGTCACCCAGGGTGCGGTTGTCCTTGAACCACATGACCGTGGGCGGTGGGTAGGCCTCGAACACCACCCGCAGTGTGCGGCTCCGGTGCAGATCCGCGAATTGTACAGGGTCCAGCTCTTCCAGCAGCCGCAGATAGCCGCTCTCTGCAAGAGGCGGCTGTCAGGGGCGGGGCCCGGGGCGGGACTATGTCCTGCCACCAATGGGACGGTGCCTTCTGGAGGGGGAGGCGGGCATCAATCGAACTCCAAAGGAATCCAGTCTTATGGGGGCGGGGCTTCAGGCTGTAGGACCCGAACCCGCGATGGAGTCTTCAGAGCTGGGGTTGAAGTTGGGACTTGGTCTGGAGCATGGGTGAATGTGGAGCTGATATTGGTGCTGCGGCTACATTTGGGGTTGGGACTGCCGTTGCAGTTTTCATCTACAACAATGGGCGTGTTCTGGCTGGGGATTGTGGCTGAGGTGAGTTGCAGCCTGGGACTAGCACTGAGGTTGAATTTGGAAATGGGGCTGCCTGGAAGCGGGACGGTGGTTGGAATTTGAAATCGGATAGGAGCTGGAGTTGGGAATAGGCGGGGAATCTAGACTGGAATTAGGGTTGGATTTGGGGCTGACACTGGGCGTTGGTTGGCACTGGCCTGGGATGCAACTGACATTACCCTGGGACTGTGACAGGGTCTGGTCTGGGTCCACCTTAGATTGGGGGCTGGGGCTGAGCCCAAGGTACACACCGACCACAGTGATATTGATGGCCTTTTCATCCTGACGCTCGTTCACACTCTCCAACACATTGCAGAGGTAAGTCCCTGAGTCGCCCAGCTCGGCGTTGGAGATGTGCAAGATGGAGCGGATGTGGGAGGGCACATCAAAGAGGAAGTCCGTCACTGGCTCCACCAGCCGCCCACTCTGGAGGGACAGGTGGGATAGGCCCCCCAAATCAGGAGGGCTCTCCAGGAAGTCAGGCTGCAAGCCCAGATGTCCATCCCTGCCTAGCCACTCCTCCAACCTCTGGCCCGACATTACCTCCATGCGAGGGTATGTCCACCCAAAGCTGACAACCTCGCTTCCGGTCACAATGCACATGACGGTGATGTTCTCGCCCTGGCGGACCACAGTCTGCACTGCATTCACCGAGACATTGATGGATGACACTGGTGGAAAGAGATTGGCTTAGGCCTGGGGAGTTTGCCACCAGCCACCAGCACTTCAGCTTGGGGATGGGGTGGGGTCAAAAGAGGGAAGGAATGGCTGGTGTGGAAGATACATTCATTCAATAAATATTTACTGGTCACCTACTTACTATAAGTCAAGTACTATTCTAAGCACAGGAGCTACAGCAGTGAGCACAACAGACAAAATCCCTGCCCTTATGCAACTGACATTTATTGAGTACATACCATCTTTTGTTTTAATTAATCTCCACAATAATCCTTTGAGGTAGGCCGCCATTATTACTCCCATTTACAGAGGAAGAAGAAGGCCCAGAGACATGATGTGCCTTCTGCAAAATCACTCAGATGGCAAGACAGCTAGCATTCAAACCCAACTGGCTGCAAAAGCTGTACCTTTGCCCACCATGTTATACAGCCCAGCTCTGTCGCTCAGCATGGTGCAACCTTGGAAAAACTCCATCCTCTCTCTGAGCCTCAGTTTCCTCATCTGTAAAATGGGGAAAACACTACCTCCTTTCCAAGGCTATAGTGAGAGTCCATTGCAAAAATGGAGTTGCACAGTTTATAAACTGTAAAGAGCTATACCACTATGAAGGGGTATTCTTGCCTCTGCTGAGCACTAGGCCAGAAAGAGAAGGAGGGCTTACCCTGGAGGCTGTAGACATAATAGGTGTCAGAATCCACTTCTCTGTCCCCGATGGTGGTTTTGCAGACATAGGTCTTGTCCTCAAAGATACCAGAGAAGCCACGTTGGTGGTCATAGGGGAAGGGCAGTGGGATGTCCACTTTCTTCTCATGCAGTGTCACCACCAGCTGTGGGTCTGTCACCCGGCATGGGATTGTCTTTTCAGATACTTCCATGACAAAGATGAACGAGTCATCAGGGTTGATAGGAAGGAAGCCCATGGTGGGATCTGCCAGGAGCGGGGCCAAGACTGAGGGTCAGAGAAGCTGGGCACCTGGCTATCCCCTGAATCACTGTGTGATCTTGTGCCAGTACTGTCCTCTCTGGTCCTCAGTCTCCCCACTACAAAATAAGGATGCTGTCAGAAGTCCCTTCGAAGAAGACAAGCTACAAGTTGAGGGCAGCTGGTATGTGAAGTGTGGAGAATGGACATGGGGACCGAGCAGGAGCAGACTGGAGCCAGGAATGGGGTGGACTGATGGGGAGTGGACAGATATCAGATCAAGGGATAGAATGAGCACACTCCAGGACTGACTGGGTTCCATGATTCGTCTGTGTTTCTAGGATCACCGCACTTCACGAGGTCACTAAAGCACTCTGAGCTCCCCACCCCTCCCCCAGGTGCCTGCAGTTGAGAAGGGGCATGAGGGTGCCGACACACAAGCCAAGGGCCCTTACCTGGCACAAAGATGTAGAGCCGCTTTCGCTCACTGGACTCCAGCCCGTGGGAGTCATTGTAGGTGCAAAAGTATTCTCCTGTGTCTAGCCCAGTGACATTGGTCAGCATCAGCATGCTGGAGAAGTTTCCATCCTGGGTCTTGACCACTTCCTGCAGGGGCTTCTCGGACAACCGTTCCCATACCACTGGAGCTGAGCCCAAGCAGGTCAGAGTGAGGGTGCTGGAGATATTGAGGACAAGTTCTGGGCCCGGGGGCATGATGAACAGACCATGGGAGGCCTGTGGTCCCAAGAGCAGCAGCAGGGGCAGCAACAGCAACTGGCCTTTGGGAGAGGAGGCATCACAGGTCAGGGCACCGGGGCCTCAGGACCTCTCTCCAGAGCTGAGCCTGGGGAGAGGTCATATATGTCCAGACCCAAGCCTTGCAGAGCCCTCTTATCCAAAACAGACTGCAACGCTCCCCTCATAGCCCTGAAGCCTGATCGCCCAGTGTCAGCCCCCAGAGACTCGTCTGGCCTCCCTGGACTCCCGATCTCAGTCTCCTTAGACCCCTTAGCCTCTGAATCCTTTAGAAGTGCTGTGTGCAGACCGTGGGCATGAGAAGGCATCAGGAAATCCTCAGGAAGCAATTCCCAGGCCTCTAGTTCCTGAATTACTTCCCAGGTCACTTTCTGAACCTTTTCCCTGCAGCTGCACAGGTTCTTCCCAGAGCCCAGAGCCCAGAGGTGGCCCTGTTCAGGGGCCTCAGATAACACAGCATGGGGGACAGACTGTTGCAGGAGAGATGCTGAGGCCCCTGGGGACTGGGGTGGGGGGTTGTTAAGTGATTGGTGCCCTTGCTCTGCTGAATGATCTTGGAATCCCCTGCGGAATGATCTTAGAAGTCAAGCCCCCAGCCTCGGCAGGGAGGGTTCCAGGGTGATGAATATAAGGCAGAGTCCAAGTGGGTGGGTGGTCAGTCCACTGGTCACACATCCTGCCAAATAATCTGACAGTCTGTCCAGCAGACCTTTGACTGGTCCTTGATTGCTTGGTCAGCCAGCCAGTCATTGGGAGCTGACTGCATGTAGTGGGCAGGGGTGAGGAGAAGGGTATGGATGAGATCAGAAGCCCAGGCCAGCGCTTGGGAGCTCCCAGCCTAGCAAGGGGTCCGGGCTGGGGGGTGGGGACTCAGGAAGGCCGTCAGGGGGTGCTCGGCATTCAGACCAGGACAAGGCACTGATACTTGTGAGTGCTGAGGAGAGATGGGGGTGACAATTGGGGGCTGAGGTGGTGACAGTTGGTGGGTGCTATGGGGTATGGAGGGCCAAGCAAAGGATTTGAGCTGATGGCTCCAGACAAGTAGGAGCTCACTGAAGGTATCTGAGCTGAGGGATGGGCATGGAAGGAGGCCTCCACAGAGACCCACTCAAAATAGAGGAAATGGAGGCTCACAAGCAGAGTGATGCTCCTGCGCTCCCATGCCCTGGGCTAGTGTGCACTAGCCCTGCCAGCTCCAGGGTGCTGCTGAGCGGCTCCCCCGGGGCCCCTTCCCCTGCCCCCAGCCTACCCACCTTTGAGGACTGTTGCTGGCACCACACCTGGAGGCTTCATGATGTCCTGCAGAGTTAAACAGCGGTCAGGGCCCAGGGCTGGCAGAGGCAGCGCCAGGGCCCATCTTAGTACCTGGGTCCTGCAGAGCCACCCAGCCTCTGTGTCCATGGGACTGGAGTCAAAAGTCACACACATCTTAAGGCTGAAACGGCACTCATGACCACAGGCCCTGTTACCTCCCCACAGACCTCAGCCTGGACCCTGCTTTGGCTCCCTCTCTGGGCCTTAGTTTCCCTGAATATACAGTGGGGGTGGTGGAGGTTGGGCTGGATGATATCCAGGGGCCTGCCAGCTCTGACAGCCCATCCTCCGTCCTCCGGGTGACAGCTCCAATACCAGGCTCTTATCTGCCAGGACAAATATTTGGGAAAGTGTGATGAAAGGCCTGGGGGAGAAGGAGGGGGCAACCCAGAACCCAGTGAACTCCTGCAGCTCCGCAAGCACAACAGGAAATGAAGGCGGCAGTGGGAAGGGAAGCGGGGGAGTCAGGGCTGTGGAATGTGGGGGGGGCCATCCCCCCATGCCTGGCCCCCTTTACTCAGCCCAGAGCAGCACAAGGAGGCCCAGGGGGAGAGGGGCCGGCCCCATAGAGCAGCAAGGCTGCGAAGGTCCTTGGGGACCATCGAATCCCCACTCCCAGTGTCCAGACGGGGAAACTGAGGCTCTAAGAGGGGAAGAAGTTTTCCTGAGGTTACACAGCAGAGCCTGTCTGAGAGGGAGACAAAGAGACTGGAATGAGAGAGGCAGAGAGAGACAAAGCCACAGGGAGACAGAGAGAGAGGATGCACAGAAACACACAGTGATGGAGACAGAAAGAGACAGAAGCAAGAACACAGAGAGAGAGACAGATTGCACTGGTCTTCGCTCTATCCCTGCCCTTGGCAGCTGCACTGTGGGTCCCACATAACCATCCATAGCCAGGTGTGCCAGGGGCCTGCCTGCTCCAATGGGAAGGAGGCCAGAGTGGATGGGGTCACAGGGCAATAAATGTGGGAAGTGACCACATGACAAAGCAACAAGGAGCCTCTGATGCTGTGGGCTGCTGCCTCCCAAGCGTTGTCCAGCCTGGCCCACTGACACCCCTTTCTAGTGTCCAATTCAGGGCTGGAGAGCTGGAGTGAGCCCTACCTTGGTTCCTGTTACTTCCTGGGCCATACTTATCTCTGTGGCCTCAGTTTCCAGCTCTCAAAATGGGATGATGATGAGTGTACCACCTATCAGGGTCGTATTTACCCATAGTGGTGGGGCCTGTGGATGCCAGCTCCAGCTCTGCCCATCACCCGAGAAGCTTTCTGAGCAAATCTGCTCCTCTCCACCTCTTTCTCCCCCTCCCTTCAGACCTGTCTGCCTAAGGGTCCCCCTCATTCCTCCCCTCTCCCTTCTCCTAATTGCTCCGGACTTAGCACTTGGCCCTTCTGATGCCCCCTCTGCAGCGTCCGCCACTCCCGTCCCTCCTGCCCAGCCCCTGCAGCTGGATGCCAGGCCTCCATGGGCAGGAGGGAGCAGTGCCGAGGCAGAGCCAGCACCCCCAGAGAGGCCCATCTGCCCCTGGTGGGTGCCCCCTCTTGCTCCGCCCCACCTTCCTGCCAGAGATCTCAGCCAAGGAAAATCATTAGCAGCCGAGGCTGGGGGAGGGGGCGATTTCAGCCTCCAGCCCCTCCCCTCCCAGCCTTCCTGGCTGGCCACACTGTTTATTATTCTAAAGGAGGAATTTGGCTGGCCTGGAGATGGGAGGTCACTGCAGCTTGGGCTGGGCCTGGCTCTGGAAGGCTGGGCTGTGTGGGCTGAGCCCTCAGGGTGCACAGCCCCCGACCCTGGCTCCAGTGTGGCTCTGGTCCCTCCTTCAGGCCCTCTTCTGCTAGTCCTGGGGCAAGAGGCATCTTAGAGTCCTTGAGACTTTGAGCTGAGAGGGACCCTTCTTGAATGGGCAGCAGGGACCCAGAGGCAGACAGAATCATGCCCCAGGCACACAGTGAAAGACAGGTTCAGGATGGGGGGGAGAGATAGACTGGGTAAAGGAGCTCTAGGAGAGTGTAGACCTTAGGGAGGGTATAGACTGGCTTCCCTCTTTATGAAATGAGCATTTTGGCTCCCCTACCCAGACACCTCTGACTCACTGTGAGCCCAGCAAGTCCCCAGCCCTCTCTGGGACTCTGTTTCCCCATCCATACGCGGAGAGGTTTGGATGGGTTATCTCAAGGAGCATCCCTGTTCTAAAACTCTTGCCTTTTTGACTGGCTAGAAAAAAGGTTCTAGTCATATTCTCTCTGGGTTGGTTACAGGAGATGGGGGCTGGAAAGGGGTGGGGGGTGGGTACATTCCTGAGTCTGGAGTCACATGTGAATCCATAAACCCATCTCATTCCGTGGATGGAATTTCCCTCATCTTGGTCACATACTTGCTGTCCAGACTTTGACAAGTTGTTTTTCTCTTTGGGCCTCTGTTTCCCCATTGGTGCAATTAGGAGTTAGACAAACAGTCCTTCAGGTGACTTCCAGTCAAATGAACTGGTGACATGGAGCCCCAGGATGTGGCAGGAAGAAGGGTGGCATAGGCAACAGGCGTCAAGAAGAACCAGGCCATCTCTGATGACTCCTGACACCCACAGGTGTCCCCTCAGTGCCTAATGGCCCTCTTTGTGCCTTCTAGAGCCTGCTGTGTTTCCAGCCAACTCCAGAGAAGCCTAGGCAGGGGCTGACTTGGGAGTGGTAGGCTTGCCTGGGACACTTTACCTTCTTCAGAGGGAGGGCTGAGCTCTGGGAAGGAGCAACCTGGGGCAAGGTGCATGTCACAGTCAGAGATCAGGCACCCCCCACCCCAACACACACACACACACACACACACACACACACACACACACACACACACACTCTCCTGCCCTGGGAAGCCTGGGAGCAGAGAGAGGGAGGGGAGCCTCAGGGCCCCTCCTTTGTCCGTAAGGAGAGTGCTATGAGCCAGGAAGCCCTCAAGATCAGTCTTTCATTTTGGCCAGGTTGGGTGGGACAGAAGTCCAAAGACTGAGGAATTGCCCGGCTCTCTCAGTGAATCAGAGGGACCCCCTGGGGAGCAGGGTGAGGACCCCAAGTTCAGGGGGGAAGAATGAGGGTCTCAAGTCCAGGGGGACAGAGTGAAGACCCCAAGTCCAGAAGGGCAGAGTGAAGACCCCACGTCCAGGGGGGCAGAGTGAGGACCCCAAGTCCAGGGGCAGGGTGAGGACCCCAAGTCTAGGAGATAGAGTGAGGACCCCAAGTCCGGGGGGAAGAGTGAGGACCCCAAGTCCAGGAAGCAGAGCAAGGACCCCAAGTCCAGGGGGAAAAGTGAGGACTCCAAGTCCAAGGAGCAGAGCGAGGACCCTAAGTCCAGGGGGCAGAATGAGGACCCCAAGTCCAGTGAGTAGAGCAAGGACCCCAAGTCTGGAGGGCAGAGCAAGAATCCCAAGTCCAGAGGGGCAGAGTGAGGACCTCAAGTCCAGGGGGGCAGGCATGCAGGGACGTCATTCTCAGAGCCCAACCTCCCCTCCTTCCAGCACATACACATCCCCACTCCTTTCCCACCGTCTTAATCTAAATAAATCCATTCCATCTTGGCCACATCCGCCAGCAGCAGCTTCCCTCCCTCGGGGTCCTGAGGCTCCCACGACACAGGCAGCCCTGGGAGGGGGGTCTGCACTGCTGCCAGTAGTGTGGCCCGCACACGGCATGCACGTGCACACAGCACCGAGTCCTGCCTACGCTCTCGCTCACACGCTCCTCTGAAACATGTGTGTGCCACAGCCCACGTGTGTACCCAACCCTCTTGCAGGCACGAAACATGTGCACACCCACACAAAGCATGCATCAATGCCCAGCACACACACAGCACAAACTGCTGCCCATGTGCCTGCCCACATGCCCATTCGAGAGGTACACGTGTGAACAAATTGCACCCAGCCCCAATCATGGGTGTGCACATGCAACATACACAGAGCATGTACACACAAGACCTCAGACTCCTTGAACACACATGCATATGCATGTACACAGGCAAGCCACAAAGCCAACATGGACTGTGCATTCACTGTACGCCAGGCACTCCTATGTGCGTGTCAGTGTATTAACGCATTGATCCTCAGTCAACTCCATAAGGTAGATACAATGATCATGCCCATTTTATAGGTGGGAAAACTGAGGCAGAGAGTGCTAAACAAACTCGCTACGGAGTGCAGAGCTAGTATGGGCAGAGCAGAAATTTGAACAGAAGTAGCATGACTTCAGCACCTGTGTTCTTTCCCACCCCGTTTCACCACATTTCTGAGCTACGTGCATACTTGGATGGGACAGAAGAGGGCAGTGGGGGCTGACAGAGACAGATGGATTTGAGCTTTACTTTGCTGAGCATCAGCAGAACATGGTGATTAGATGTTGGGGGCTGGAGAGGGAAGTATCATAGATGATCCCCCACTCCTGTCTCTGGTTTGGGGTGCTGGGGACAGGAGTGTGTGTGTTGGGGGAATGCCATTTTCTGAGATGACTATGAGGCAGAGGAGCAGGACTGGCAGCAGCCACGGAGCTGGGTTAGGATGTGGAGAGATCTGTGGACCCCTGAGAGGACAGTGGGATGCTCAGTCTGGAAGTGGGGAAGAGGCTGAGCAGAAATAGCAGCCAGATGGAGATGGAGGAAGGCGTGCTGCAGGGAGGAGGGGTGCGGTGGGGCAGGCAATCTCAGGCCAGGGATGCTCTGAATAAACAAGATGCCCCAGGGAGGAGGAGGGAGGTTGGGCCATGGGGTCATGGGTCAGTCTTGGAATGTCAGAGCTCCATGGCCCTCAGGGACTTTCTATCTAATCCACCCCCCCCTTCCTGTGTCCCATTGCATGGATGAGGAAACTAAGGCCCAGAGAAGGAAAGGGATAGGTCCCACTGTTTCAGCCTAGGCAAGAGGGGCTTAGGTGACCAGTGGGGAACTGTGAGCTGAAGCTCACCTGATTAGACAGCCCTCTGCCTCCAGGCCCGGCTCCTGGG